ACTCGTAAAGCACAATTCCAAATTCAGATTTGAGGCATCACCATATCAAGTAAACAATTAAACGAGATCAACAACTATAAAATCATTTTAAAAAATTGAAACACCATAATATGACCATGCAAATAACAATTTAAAGAAGTGAAACATCGCAATTTGACATTGAATATGAGAGAGTCTATTATAACCAAAGATTCACAACATTGCATAATCTCACTAAACCAAAATCTCAACGATCAAGACTCTTGCAATTTCTTCTGTAGTCTATCTGCTACCTCGGCCGCTACTTCGGCTGCTACAACTGGTTTTAAGAGTTCCTTGACCTGAAAGAAAACTTTTCATCATTCGTGCAAGATCTAAATATCATTTCATATTACCTAGTCCACTGACAACAACCATAAAATACTTCAAATGACCGAATCAATTCAGGCTGTCTAAAAGGACAAGAACGAACCTCATATATTGACGAAACTTCGTAGGCTAACAAAATAGTTGTATCGTAGAGTGGAATGTGATGCTTGGCAAGCACATTAACACAATTCACGAGACGTGCTATAACTGCTCTTGTTTGCATTGGTACTACCTGAAAATGTTCACTACGATGAGCACTACAAATACAGTAATAACAGTAAATGCAATTGCCAGTGTGCAACAGCAACAGTGAAGATGGATAAATCGAAGACATTCTGAAAACAACAAACAAGACAAACTTCATCCAGATTTTGCGCGTATCCGCCTGTAGCGGTCTGTTCTTCACTAGCCACAGGCGATATCCAAATATTGCCGTTACATCCAAGAATGACCGATGCACCACAAGGAAGTGTATGGAAATGTGTTTTGCGACGTTTCACCAGATACGGCGATACTTTCACTAAGGTTCCTTGAGAGAGCTGTAAATATTCACGCTTGTACGAGATTAACCATCAGGAAATCTCATTGAGAAATTGATCCAACTACAACAACTTGTATAGATTAATGAACAGGATGGGAACAGAGACGAATTTCCAGCTGTCCACATAACCAAGTGAGGAATTTCACCTCAATAAAACAACAAATAAGTTAGAATAATGAGCTTCACAACATACCTTTCCATATTTCAAATTCCTTGTATGCAGTTGCAATTGACCGTCAGACTGTACCTTTTGCACTTCGGCCTGAATTGTTGAAAATGCACATAATCATACAAGTATCAAATGATGGCAACAATAATAAAAATAACAAAATTTGAAAAATACGACAGTGATAATAACAATAACAACGATCATGATAAAGATAATACTCACACTGATAAGATCGCCTTCCTTCAGATATTCACGCATCATTAACTCATCCTCAACTGATTTACGCCTCTGCAAGCGAAAATGCTCTCATTTTACTATTGAAAAAATCCAAAATAATATATATTTGACGCTGATAATAAGTCAGATCTCATCCACTCTATTTTTCGAAAAAAAAAATGAATCCGGTTAGACTCGACTCGGTTTGTTCTTCTGAACTGTCAGTCAAAAATTAAACAACGATTAAAATGTAAGAGGCATTCCACATACCAATTCACCTCCAGGTAAATTAACACTTGAAAGCATTAAAGTAGAGTCTAGACGTGAGTTTGTTTCCACTTTCCAACGCTTCTGTTGAACTTCTGTGATACGACCCACAACAACGTCACCTATTTCACCATTGTATCTGGAAGCATCAGCTTAGGAGAGGAGTAAGTAACGTTCGTCTTCTTACATATGTCAAGCGGATAACTCCTGCTTTCACTATTCAAGAGGCGAGATCGAGGCTTTCAATTGACTTTCAGTTTTTCAGAAACCACTCGTTTTCAACAACCTTAGTTTTCCCGTTACAAAGAAATAGTTTCAAATGAATGCAGGAATAAGCAAACTTAAATCACCTGCTTTTAATCGGCTTGACGGTGATTAACTTGTTCACTTGCTCGACAACTCCGGCTACAGATGCTGTCAGTTCATCGCCATTCAAGTAAGTTCCATGACCTCTATAAAGGGATAGATAATTGGATGGATAATTCTAGTGTTCAAAATGCATCCAGATTGGAATTTCAATAGGAAATGCATCAAAAATTACGTGATCATTAAGATGGAAGCGAAGAACTTAAAAGAAATGAAACGAAAACCTCATGAAATTATGTGACGAACTGACATTGGCGCCTGGAACCACCAACTTATCTTTGGGAACCTTTTCGGATTCGAGCAACTGTGAGGGAAGAGCCAGCGGTGGTCCAGTGATTTCAACGGACATCGTTCGTGAACTGAAAATAGACGAATACATCCACTGACAGATCTAATTGTTATTTTCATTTATAAACGCTGACAAACATCAGTATTTTTCATTAATCTAAATATCTCCGAAACAGATGGCCTACTAGTAATGGAGAATAATCCATGAAATGGCTTATATTTCAATAATTTGCTGCGCATCCCTACCTATATTCATAACGTTTGCTGCATATTATCAAGATTAATTAAATTCACAAAACTTGATTAAAGATCCGGGAGGGTTACTTGCCACATGAATTATTGTTATACTGTGACGATGAGCAAGATTCAGTCTTCTACGAAAAACATAGAAAGGATCGAGCTGGAGAAGGGGCTCTGAAAAAACTGCATCAAAAGACTGGTCAGTAAGACTTAAATGTGACCATTCATATCCACGTTGCTNNGGTCAAACACATACTTGGCGAATAGGCTCCACACCCTTGATAAAATCTTTACGAAAAATTTTGTTTTCAGCAAATGATGTTTGATGTTGTATTTATTTATTTCGGCAATTCAGGTTCCGCTGATCAATCAGTATTTTGAATTTCAGTGTTATTTCTAGAGATATGGACACCAGCGAACCTCCTGTCTACCGTCCAACGGATGTCAAAAAATTGGTTGATCCATTAGTGGATCTCGGTAATTTGTTGCTGACAGACCACGATCCTCCACCAGATGATTCACGTGATAGGTGAGCTTCGCTTGTTCATCATGTTCTATCGGTGTTGATAGGATCGTTGCTCATCGATAAAAAATGAAATACGATTCGTTTGCTCCGTATTGTTATCAACATAATTTCCTCACTTGACCGATGTCTAGCTTTCGTTCCTAGCGATGAACGATTACTCTGAACGCCTATTGTTAGAAAATTAAACGTTCTGTAATGCACATTCCCATCTTTTCAACGTTATTTACACATCCGGAGTTCCGGAGTCTTCACATTATAATGTCTAGATAATTGTTAATCTTTTATTCTTCAGAATTCCCAGCGAAGAGGAATTGCTCACAACAGCACGTGATAACACTCAATACTTGTTCAATAAAATTTGGGAATTGGAACGTGAGAAAGTCGATGAAGCTATATGCGCTAAGGTTCTGGTCGTAATTTTTGTTGCACGCATTTTTTATGGTGCCGGCTGAGTGGTAACACTCGATCTTGAGATGAGTTCAGCAATTAATCAAAAGCAAAGTTGATAAAATAATATCTTACGATTAATCTATTGCTCACTCATGCAGAATCTTAAATCTTTCGTTCTCGTTTCTCACATTTTCGTAGGAGAAGCTTAATGCTCGAAGTGGTTCGGTTGCTGTGGTTATTGTTGTTGTTCTTACAGCTTCCACGTCCTATACTCAAGCTTCCTCGTGAGAAAGTACTACCGGAAAAGAGAGAACTGACAAAATGGGAACAGTACGCCCAAACGAAAGGAATCGTTAAGAAGAAGAAGGATACGAAAGTTTACGATGAATCCGCAAAGGTTTCATTTCTGTCTCATCGAAATATAATCACTTTTCATGCATTCCAATTAACAATAAATCATGCAGTGGTAAAACGAAGTTTTCATCTAAAAGTGAATCTAATGTTTTGAATCCGATTCAGTCATATTGACAGATC